TGTTTTTCTGCCATTGACTAACCATTTAGCCTTGGGGGAATCACCTAACCTCTTTGAGCCTCAGTTTCCTCATCTGTTTAATGGAATTATTAACAATACCTATCTTTAAGATTGTTTGGGTGACAAATAGAGATAATACACATAAAACACTCACTAAATATAGTTTCTTTTCTCCTTCTCTTTCTTTAAAAAGCTTTGATAATTGAGTAAATAGTATCTGCCCAAATAGAGATTTGTATTTAAGGAGGGAAAGAGAAATATAACAATTTTTTTTTTTTTTTAAGCCAGGGCATCGCTGGTGGCTCAGTGCTAAACAGTCTACCAATGAAGGAGACGTGGGTTCGATCCCTGGTCTGGGAAGACCCCACATACGGCAGAGCAGCTAAGCCACAGCTAAGGAGCCTCTGCTCCAGAGCCCTGGAGTCACAGCTACTGAAGCCCACACACCCTAAAGCCCATGCTCCCCAGCAAGAGAAGCCCAAGCTCCACAAATAGAGAGAAGCCCCCATTCACCTCAACTAGAGAAAAAAAAAAAAATCCTGCCCAACTACGAAGAACCAGCACAGTCATAAATAAATAAAATGACTAAAAAAAAAAAAAGTGCAAGGCTTCATTCTCTAAATATGAGATTATCTGCATAATCACATATACAGCATGTGATTAAAGATTTGAGTGGGCCACACTTTCATTGCAATATCAGTCTCCTATCAATTATTTACAAAGTGGCAACCACCTTGACTTGGATCATTCTCAGGAAGCCAGATCCTCCTAGACCTCCACTTGTTGCCCCAGCCAAGAGAGTGGCCTTGGAGAGGATACACTCACTCCAACAGCAGCCCCGCGTTCCTCTTTGCTAACTCTTCTTTGCTGACAGCATATACTTCCTAGGTATGTCCAGCAATGTCAAATCGTTATCCTCTGGGAACAAATTTAACTTTTGAAAGTCACCAAGATGTGTAATCTGGCTGGACATCGTTGTTTGAAAAGTGAAAGTGAAAGGGCTTCCCTGGTAGCTCAGCTAGTAAAGAATCTGCCTGCAATGCTGGTGAACTCAGTTCAATTCCTGGTTTGGACAGATCCCCTGGAGAACGGATAAGCTACCCACTCCAGTATTCTTGGGCTTGCCTGGTGGCTCAAACAGTAAAGAATTCTCCTGTAATGTGGGAGACATAATGTGGCTGGACATCATTGTTTAGGAGTCAAATATAGAAAAACTGCATTTTGGGGGGGGCATTTTTCAAAACCGGACTCTGAAGATTATTTACAGGGATCTGAGCTCAGTCATCAAAGAAGCAGGATCAAGATAAACACATAGTTCCCCAAGGTGACTACATTGAATTGACCAATAAGCATCATCCAAAGGAGCATAATTCTTATATTCTTTTTTTTTTTAAGTATAGAAAAAAATCAAATTCTTTCCCTAAGAACTAGCTATCTGCCTGCTCATTGGTTAGGTTTTACTTCATACTTACACTGTGAGTCATCGTTTGTGAACATCATTAACAGAGATTATGTCTTCCTGTGAATTATTATGAGGTTAAAATATAGACCGGGGCTGCAGTCCTTTCTAGGAAATAACCAGAAGAGTCCATCCTCAACCCAAGTCAGACACAAACAGCACATCTGCTTGTGGAATTTAAATACAGTTTCAACAGATCTAAGTTAACAACTTATGATGAACTAAAAAATACTCATCATTCTTCCTCTAGTATTGGGAGGAGGGGGGACGTCAACCATGGAAACCATGGAGCTCAGACAAGCCCAACACAGTCGGACTGTCCCGGAGCATCATACATGTGTGAAATGTTCCTTTCCCCTACCTGATGCGGTCCAGGGAACAGCTGGGAGAGTCAGAGCAGTCGTCCCCACCCAGCACCCTTGCTGACCCCGGGTTCATGACAGCCTCATTCCTGGACCACGAGAGGAGTCCGAGGTCAGGGAGAGACAGGGAAGCCACTGTCACTGGCCTGTGTACCCTTCACTGTGTGCTCGTACCAAGGCTCGTGATTGCTAAATGTTCGCTTTTGTGTGATTCGGGAAGTTTGGATCCTCTCTTTGAAAACTCTCTGCTCTCTCTCCTTCTTGTTCTGTGACTTCATAATGCCATGGGATTTTGACAGCAATCAAATGGGTACAGACACTCCAGTATATACTACCCCTGTCAGCAGATGCGCAAGTCCCTTTAAGTTACCATTGTGTAAAATTCTTCTTCCTCCTTCTCTAAGAGGAAGATGATGCATTGTGACAATGTCCTGACATTAGGATGGTGCCTTCCAGCCTGGAACAATTCTTGGTGTCCAGCAGGTCCCCAGACTGCGATTGTAGGGAAAAACTTCATTGTTATTTTATAAAATGCTTGTCTCAAGCAAACAGAATATTGCTCCCCTCAACACTTTCTCAAGACGTGGGAATCCTTCTGTCGTTGCTCAGAGATTTCCAGAATTTCTTACCTGTCTCCTCTACCCATACAGAAATTGTCTTTTGATGTCCCAGGAGAGAGAGGACAACTGGTTATTGGAAAGAGCCATGCATAACAAGGCTGGAATGGTTTTTAGAAATTATTAAGCCCAGCATGCCCACTAGGGTTAACAGTCACAAGCACAGGTTGTATCCAAGTGTCCTCGGTATCATTTTCTAACTATGAGAACTTGAAAATTTTACTTCAGCTCTATGAACCTCAGTTTCTTCACCTGTAAAATGGAAATTAGGAACCCCATCTTGACCAGCTGCTTTGAAAAATCACAAGGGAAGACCATGTGTATAAAAATCAAAGTACCACCACCAAGTGGGTCTTTGATAATGCAAGTTTTATTCTTTTTTCCTACTGGATACTCAGAATCCTAACCTTTCAACCAAAATGATATAGTGGGTCCTTCTGTAAGGGAAAGGGGCTGAGGCTCTTCCTATAGAAGGCTGAAATCTACCTGGGCAGACTGACACCTGGGGGTCACTCTAACATTGCAGCCCGTGAGTGGTTCCCAACTGGACTAATGCGCAGCTATGTCTAATACAAGATGGCAGGTATCATGCTAGTCTGGGAAGGATGCTGTGGCGGAAGGAGGCCGTATCCACCTGGAGGATTTGCAGGAAAGTTTCTCAGAGGAGAGGACACCTGAGCTAACGCTAATAGAAGAGTAAGGCTTGGTCACCCACATGAGACTTGAGAGAAACAGGACGCTGGAGAAGCAAAGCCCTAGAGGAACAAGCGAGCAGGGAAACGCTGGTGGGAGATTGCCAGTTCACAGTGAGGCTGGAACATGTGTCGGGATTTGGAAAGTGAAAGGGAATCTGATATATGACAGTCTTGAGAATTTTGCCATGCAGGAAGGAGAATATAATTTGAGAGACTAGAGAGCCATGGAAAGACTTCAAGTTAAGGAGTGACATGGTCAGATCTGAGTTTCAGAAATACTGGCTGGAAAATAACAGTGTATTTTCAGAGACTTCCCTTGTGGTCTAGGGATTAAGACTCCAAGATTCCACTGTGGGGGTCACAGGTTCAATCCCTGTTGGTGAACTAAGATCCCATGTGCCACGTAGTGTGGCCAAAAAAAAAAAAAAATAGTGTATATTCAGTAGGGATTGGGAACTGGACGCAAACAGCTGCCAGAAAACTATTTCAAAACTAGGTGAGAACTAAAACAGAAATAGGATAGAAGGAGAAAGGTGGATGGATGTGAGATTTATTGAAGAAATAGAATCTACAAACTTAGGATGACCAGACTGTGGAATATGGGGGAAAAGAAAAGCAACAAAGATGAGACTAAGATTTCTGGCTTGAGAAATGATGCCAATAGTTCTGCCAAGAATTGAAAAGAGAGTTTGGGGGAGGTGGTGATAGCTTATGGTGAATGATGTTGGATTCGTGATCTCCAAAGAAGATTTAGCTTCGGGACCAGGGACCAGCCTTGATCACTCAAGAGTTTTATTAAAGTGAAAAAGGGACAGAGAAATTTCCTGACATAGACATCAGAAGGGGGATGGCGAGTGCCCCCACTCATTAGTCTTAGCAAGGCCTTATATACTTTTACCAGACCCACTCCCACAACATACATCTTAAATTAACAAGATTAGAACTAACAATAGAAGGGTCTTACCAGACCCATGGAGCTGCCCTTGTGGCTCAGCTGGTAAAGAATCTGCCTGCTATGCGGGAGCCTGGGTTCAATCCCTGGGTTGGGAAGACCCCCTGGAGAAGGGAAAGACTACCCACTCCGTTATTCTGGCCTGGAGAATTCCATGGACTGTATAGTCCGTGGGGTCACAAAGAGTTGGACACAAATGAGCAACTTTCACTTTAGAGCTTCCTTTGTAGCTCAGTTGGTAAAGAATCTGCCTGCAATTCAGGAGACCTGGGTTCAATTCCTGATTCAGGAAGATCACCTGCAGAAGGAAATGGCAACCCACTCCAGTATTCTTGCCTTGAGAATCCCATGGACAGAGGAGCCTGGCGGGCTACAGTCCATGGGGTCACAAGAGTCAGACAGGACTTAGTGACTAGACCACCACTGCCAGACCCACTCCCACAATATACATCTTAAGATAACAAGTTTAGTCAGAAGATTCTTGTTAAGGAGAAGCATGTCCTCAAGCAGGGCACATTGTTGTCACATAATCATTGGTACAGAGTTTAAGGGAAAACATTTCGTTGAGCAAGATGAGCTGTTTTGTTGTACAATCATCAGCTCTGGGTTTAAAGAAGAAAGCATTTGTCCTTTTCTCCTCCTTGAGAACCCCAGACCCCTACCTCCTCTTTGAGAGCTCTGGACCCCTTTTTCCTCCTTGGGGACTCTGGACTTCTTATCAACCTACCTAGAAATTGACTCTCTCAGTGGTAAGGAAATGATGAGTTCAACTTGGGACCTGTTGAATTTGAGGATGGCCTGAGACCTCCAAATGGAGAAAACATCCATATAATGTGACCTACTGGAATCTATGACTAGGAGAGTGACCAGCCCACATTCCTGTTGAATCTGACCAGCTCCCTTCTCTGTTTCCAGTACTTCATCTTCACGGGGGTGTTGGCCATGGTGACCTGTGCAGTTTTCCTCCGACTCAACTCTGTCCTCAAGCTGGCCGTGCTCCTCATCATGATTGCCATCTATGCCCTGCTGACCGAGACCATCTATGCAGGCCTCTTTCTGCGCTACGACAGCCTGAACCACAGCGGAGAGTAAGTGGCCACCACTGTGCTCAAAAAGAGCTCAGCGTCTAGTGGGAAATGAAACCATTCAGAAAATGATTAAGGTAGAAAAACTTACAGACTGATTGAATATTGACATATTTCTCACGCACTCTGGATGACAAGTTGAGGCAAAATTCCTAGTTTTCCATTTTATCATGTATATTCACTACAGGTTAATTCATGGGTTAAAGTTTGGACTAAACCATAGCTCCAGTCTCCCTAAATGTAATAATTTATAATTCCTTCAACTGTAATAGTTCCAAGATTTGTAAGGTCTGATTGTCATTTTGCTGTAGCGCTATTAAAAATAGCAGACCTGTGCATTGAGCAGTTGCTAAACTCCTTACATTGTGCTATTTTGAAATCTGGAAAAATACAACAACAACAAAAATCAGCCTAGATTCCTTAGAGAACAGAGCCTGAGGCAAGCATGAAGTGCTAATCCAAACTCAGGACGGCAAAAGTGAGGGGAAAGGAGGTGAAGAAGGAAAGGATGGAAGGGAAATACAAGCCATGTTATGCTGCCCAGATGAATCGTGAAGCTGGGGCTTTGGAGGATGTCTCAAAGTCTCTCTGGGTAGGTGAAGAGGTAGGGAAAATGTCTCAGACAGGAGGGATGGAATCTGTTGGTTCCTTCCCTCTCGTTTCTCCCATTAATCTCAGTTCATACTCTGGATGTACTTCCTGGTGATGTACTTCAGCCATTTCTTCAGCCCTTGGGGAAACCAGACCCCACACCTGCCTTGTGGAGCTCCACAGCGGCTGGAAGTGATGGAAAGAGCCAGACACCGAGCACGAGGCTGATTGGCCTCGGGAGGTGGGAAGAACAGAGGTCTCAATGAGACCAGAACACGTGGACAAAGTCTGAGAAATAGAGGCAGTAAAGACAGTCCAAGAAGCCCAGAAAATGTGCCTGAGACTAATAATGGGAACATTTATGATCCAGCTCCTGGAAATAAAAAATGCATACAATTAGTCATGTTTACTTATGCATTTTTAAAAGGATAAAGTCTTTCAGATATTGTTGAAGTTCCCTTCCCCAGCATTGTTCTTTTATCCTCCTCCCAAGAGTCAATTTCTGCTGCATTTAATGTATATCCTTCCCATCCATGTGTTTTATATTGGGTAGGCCAAAAAGTTCATTCTGATTTTTCTATAAACTGAAAAAAATCAGAACAAACTTCTTGGCTAACCCAGTATATATACACACACACACACACACACACACACACACACACACACACACACACATATATACACATACACACACACACATATATTTATATTTTTAACCCAGTATATATTTATATTTAGCTGTATCTATATTTTAAATTGTTTATAAAATTCTTATGCTATCATGTATTATTGTATTTTTTAGATTCATATAGGTTCATATCTACAGATTTAGCTCATTTTAGATAGAACATACCAAGATATATTTATCCTTTAACCTATTGAAACGTTATTGATACTTCAGTGATCACCATTGAAAATATCTCTTTGGGTTTAGATCTCAAAACTCACTTACTGGAATAGAGGGTATCTGCATTTTCAACTTTTTAAGATCTTGCCAAATGGCTCTCCAGTAAGTTTGGATGGTTTATCTCTTATAAGCAGTGGTCTCTGTAATGCTTATTCAGTTCCTTAGTGAGAATTTTATCTCATTATTTTCATTAGTAGTTCATCATGAATAAGTTTGTGCAGCTTGTTATTGTTTTCGGTAAACTTCTAGGTCATATCTTTTGCCTGGTTTTCTATTAGGTGGTTTGCCTTTTTCAGTAAACTTCTAGGTAAACTTCTAGGTCATATTTTCGGTAAACTTCTAGGTAAACTTCAATAAACTTCTAGGTCATATCTTTTGCCTGGTTTTCTATTAGGTGGTTTGCCTTTTTCTTACTAGGTTTGTAAAGGTTCTTTATAATTTCTAGGTACTAATTTGTGCCTGTTATGCGAATACAACATCTGCTTTATACCTATTACCTTATTTAACCTTCATGGCAACAATCTGAGGAACGCAGATTCCTCAGAGAGGTTCAACAATTACCTGGATGCACATGGCCAATAGGTGACAGATCTGGATTCAAACTCAGGTCTTTCTGGCTCAAAAGCCCATCTTTGTAAACACTGGATACATGTCTCTCACATCAAGATGAAGAATCTCTCACCAAATGCCCAGGGTTCAAAGAAAGTCAAAATAGTTTCAAATTAGATTAAATGGTTAGTGGCAACAGATGTCCCATGGCCAAGCAGAAATCAGCACAAAAGAGGGCAAAAATATATATGAACAAGGTAGGCCATTTTTGTGGTAAAAATAAAAATTAGATCACCTAAAACCTACTCACTCAAAGTAGGTTTTAAATTTCAAAGGAAATTTAAAAAGTATTAATGGAGCATACCAGGGCTCTGGCATCAGGTCCAGACTCTGCTGCATTAGAAAGTCCCTTCCCACCTCTGGACCTCAAGTTACTCATCAGTGAAGTGAAGCAATTATACTCAATTGTGGGGCTGCATGAGACTCTGAGGTGCCTGGCACATGGTAGGTGTTCAGCATCTGTTCACTCCTATCCCATCCTTCCTTTTCAGGAGAAAGGTTTAGTTCTGAATTCTGTTTTGAGGTCTTAAGGAAAAACTTACTGTTAAATTGTTAAGTAGGATTCTAAGAGTGCACATAATTCCAAGTTCATTGCTGCTTTTCTCAGCTTCCTGACTCAAGGTTGATTGTCAGTTCGTCTTGTATTGATTCACACTCTGCTATCAACAGAATTAAATTAATGAGAAATGGAAGAGTCCATTCAGCTTTCCCTCTCGGCCATGTTTATAAATCAACAGGTCAGTAGTCACTGTGGATCCATTTAGCAGTCACAATCTGCTCATACTATTGGAATTTAACCAATCTGTAGGAGCTCGCATTGGTTCGGGGCATTTCTGCTGATTGTTCCTGGGGATTGGGTGCTTGGGAAAGTACAGAGAACCTAGCACAGGGCATCCTGGCTACATCCACACTGAGATGACCCCAATACTCGGACTCTATCTGCTCATGAGGCCCCCTCCATGACAACCCCCTGTCTCCATGGATGACAGTGAGCGCAAAACAGGGGAGGCACCCTCACTGCCAATATCTTATCGGCCCCTAGAAATTCATCCTCCTCAGCACCCCCAGTAAGGAAGACTACATCGTGACACCTGCGAGTACAAGTTTAGGAACCAAACCTCCTGTCTTCAAATCCCAGCACCTTCATCAACCAGCTGTGTGATCTTGAGAAAATGAATTAAAAGCGACTTAACCTCTTTAAGCCTGATTTTCTCATCTGCGAAGTGGGGGTGATAATAGTTTCTATGTTGTAGGAATATATGAAAGATAAATTGCGATAGTGGAAACTTAGCTCAAGGTCTGGCATAGAATAAGCACTTGATGAATATAAATGATTATTACAGTAAAGTCCCCTACATACGAACAAGTTCCCTTCTGAGAGTGCATTCATAAGTTCAATTTGTTGGTAAGTCCAACAAATAGATACCCAGCTAACACAATAGGCTAAATAGTACTATACTGTAATAGGTTTGTAATACTTTTCAAGTAAATAATGCATAGAAAACAAACACAAAAAATAAAGAAAACATGTTTAATCTCACAGTACAGCACCAGCTACATCACCACTGCTTGTACTCTTGCTTCCAGACATCCTGGGCTTGAAATAAAGACCCTTCTGTATTCTATATGTTACTGGACAACAGAGGATGCCTGCATGTACAATGTAGACAGACACGTGAACTGACTTGCATGATTGGACATATGAATGCATCTTTGCATCCTTGAAAGGTCATAGCTTGAAGGTTTATGGGTAAGGGACTCACTGTGTTAGACATGACCCTTTCTAGAGCACAAATACTACTATTCGTAGAAATATCCCTGCTTTCATCTCTGGACCGCTGTACCATACCTGATCTCCTAAGCTGCCCTCTCAAGGCATCCTCCTCAAAGCCATCTGGTCAACTCATTATCTTTCTTAAAACCCTTAAAGGGTTCCTTGTTACCTCTAAGGAGAGAAAAGTTCGACTTGTTTGTCAAGAACTTCAAAACCCTCCCTGGAGTCCCACTGACTCCTGCGACCTTATCTCCTACAACTCCACAGGTCACTGTTTAGATCTCACATTCTAGCCATGGGAAACCATGCGCCATTGCCCTCATGAGCCTCTGCACTTTCTTCCCCCTGCCAACCCGTCCTGCTCAAGACCACCTCCTCCATGAAGCCCTCTTTGATCATTCCTCATTTTCTAATCTATGCATATAATTTTTTTTATCATTGCACTTATCATTAGACTGATTGTAATCATTAATTTCCATATCTTCCTTCTCTGTTAGAATAGGAGCTTTTAAGGGCAAGGGCCATTACCCATGTTCATAATTTTGGCACTTAGTGGAGTATCTGGCAGCAGGTGTCCAATTAAATGCTTGTTGAATGAAATCAATGAGTGACTGATGGAAATAGTAGTTCATTTGGGATCATATTACACCACTAGTTCACAGTAAGCTAAGTTTCACCTACCTACACCCTATGCTCTCCTGCGTGGCTCAGTAGTAAAGAATCTACCTGCCAATGCAGGAGACACAAGAGATGCGGGTTTGATTCTGTGGGTGGGAAGATCCCCTGGAGAGGGCATGGCAACCCACTCCAGTATTCTTGCCTGGGAAGTTTCATGAACAGAGGAGGCTGGCGGGCTACATTCCATAGGGTTGCAGAGTCACACACAACTGAGCAACTGAGCACACATTCATGTGCTCGCAAACCAGGTGCTCCCCTTGCTGTCCAGAGAATTTGCTTCCAAACGTAAGTGTCATAACCTTTGCTATGGGCTTTGGTAGGTTCTGCAGATTCACAGATGAACAAGATACTGCAAGGAGTTTGCCTACTAAATCGCTTCAGTCGTGTCTGACTCTTCGCAACCCTGTGGACTGTAGCCCTCCAGGCTCCTCTCTCCATGGGATTCTCTAGGCAAGAATACTGGAGTGGGTTACCATGCCCTCCTCCAGGGGATCATCCTGACCCAGAAATTTAACCCACTGCCTCTTTCGTCTCCTACATGGGCAGGCAGGTTCTCTACTACTGAGCCATCTGGGATAAGGAGCTTAGAAGCAAGTAATTATAAGTAAGTGCATGTTAGAAAGCCATGGGAGCTTACTGAAAAAGCATCATTGAGATATGCATTGATAGTCAGCCTTCACCATTCACTAGATTTGTGAATTAGAGTGTCTCATTTAACATCTGAGTCTCAGTTTCTGCTTTACTGGAATAGGGAGAATAATATTTTAAGTGTTGCTGTGACAATTAAAGCAGGCAATGTACGCAAAGTGTCATTAGAGGTATGACATAAAATCAGTGCTAAGCAAATGCAGTCATTAGTATGGCAACAGAATAAAAGATAAATTCAAACTGGCTGGCTTATTTTGGGTTTCACAAGGGGAAATGGGAACTAATTGCAGCATTAAAATTTGGCATCAGATGCACAATGGCTAATGCTCTGACTTGGTGCCTGAGATGTGAATTCTCATCCTGGGACACAAATCAGCTGTGTGACCTTGAGCAAGCATCTTATTCTTTCTGGGCTTAGTCTTCAACCAGTAATTAAAGGGCTTGCAAGGACCATCATGTGATGTATGGCTCACATAATATGGAACTGGATGGATACATTAAATTCACATTGTGTAGTATTTAATTACATAGAATTATTTTTGTAATACATACTAAGTGCAAAAATATGTTACAAAGCAGTCTGAACCCTCTGATTCTAAATTTGTAAACATAAATGTATTTTTGCATGAAGGAAAAGGAGATGACATTGAGCTGATTTCCAAAATACTAATCATTGTTTTCTCTGGGTGATAGGCTGAAGAACAATGTGTGTGTGTGTGTGTGTGTGTGTGTGTGTGTGTGTGAATTTGAATTAGCTTCCGAACTCACTACAACTAGTGTGAGTACTCTTCAGTGATTAGTGCTCAAATTAAATATTAATTTTATGACATATCAGATGAGATGGTCTCCGAAGATTGTGGTAGCCCTGAGGATCACATTATTCTACATGTGTTTTCACTTAATTATGTCCTTTTCTATGAGTATAGGGTGAGGATACTATCAATTCAGTAATTTTGTTAATACAAATAAACTAGTTCAAAATCTCCTTGGTTTCATGTCTCTGCCACTTAATATCTGGCAAAGTATTACAGTTTTGTACAAATTTCAGCCATTTGGCTCTCTTTGGAAGTTCTTCAAATAGTCATCGAAGTTACAAAGAAAAAAAAAAATCCTTTCAAATCACAATTTTTTCTGGATGTTCTTTGGCCTAACTAACTTACTCTCATATTCTGTAGTCTCTACTTAGGCCATATTTTTTCCATTTGAAGTACATCCTGAAGACTTAACAACTGTTCATAATTTTCCTTTATTTTTTTTCCAAATGTGATCTAGTCATCTGTCTATTTTTAGTCAACCACTACTTTCAAAATGATTCAAGATGTATTTACGTTCTCTCTTGAAGGTATGTTTTATGTGATAAATTGCTGAGCTTTAAAAATTCTTCTGCATCAGAAAGGAAAGCATATCAGAAGTGCCAGTCAGGGCAGCACTATATAGTGCTGCCTCATGAATAGTCGGGCTATATTCATGAGGAGCTAAACATAGGACACATCCCATTCAATCTATGCCAAGTGAATGAGTGACTTTGTAAAATACCACCACTAGCAGCAAGTTGATGTACTGGTAGCTTTAAGGGATAAAGAGAGTACATGCCAAGCATGTATGTTGCCAAGATTTGGTCAATTATTTCTCACAGTTAAGGGGGTAAATGCAATTAGTGTCCTTCACAAGGCAACAAACTGAGGCTTAGAGGTATTAAGTAGCTTGTCCAAGGGCAAACCGTTGGTCAGTAGCAGAACTGAGATTGGAAGCTGGGTCTGCATGAGTACAAAGCTCGTGAATTGATTTTGTTAGGTGTCCACAAGCTTGAAAGTCCAGAGAATTGTGACATGAAAAAAGGGTCATGTTAGTATGTCCCTGTGCTCAGCACTATGGTGAACTGTGACCAAATGAATGAATGAATCCTAGCCCCTAAAATTCTGGATGACAATATATGACTTACAGTCCAGCTGTAAGCTGTACGGCTCTACCAGATCTGAGCACTCCCTCCTGCTGAGTCTGAGTGTGGCCTCAGACTGGAGGCATGGTATTTATTTATCCTCCCTACACTACAGGCTTGTAAACCAGCTGCTAGCTAAGCAAGATCTATGTCTTATACCTATAGATGCCACTCCCCCCTTTTCCTCCCAAACTCTTCAGTTCAGTTTAGTTCAGTCGCTCAGTCGTGTCCAACTCTTTGCGACCCCACGGACTGCAGCACACCAGGCCTCCCTGTCCATCACCAACTCCCGGGGCTTACCCAAACTCATGTCCATCGAGTTGGTGATGCCATCCAACCATCTCATCCTCTGTCATCCCCTCCTCCCACTTTTAATCTTTCCCAGCATCAGGGTCTTTTCAAATGAGTCAGCTCTTCGCATCAGGTGGCCAAGGTATTGGAGTCTCAGCTTCAGCATCAGTCCTTCAGATGAACATTCAGGACTGATCTCCTTTAGGATGGACTCTTATCAGCCTTAAGCATTCGGCTCTTGAGTCTCGCCTGAATATCCAGCCTAGTTTACTTTCTCTTCCCTTATATTCCATGGCAACCAGGGTGTATCCTTACTATGGGGTGTACCACATTATGAAATCATCTGTCTAGCTCTTTCCTTTACTGAACTGTATTGAGGGCAAAGGCAAGGTATCTTCTTCAATTCTGTATCCTAGCATGTGCCTGGTACACAGTAGATGGTCAATAATTATGTGCATCATTGGGGCTACAGAAAAGTTTCATCTATTATCAGCATCTTATCTCCAAGGAAAAGCAGATGGAGCTAGGAATTCACGAATCTGCATCTTTTTTTTTTTTTTTTCCCATTTATTTTTATTAGTTGGAGGCTAATTACTTTACAGCATTGCAGTGGTTTTTGTCATACATTGAATTAGCCATGGATTTACATGTATTCCCCATCCCGGTCCCCCCTCCCACCTCCCTCTCCACCCCATCCCTCTGGGTCCTCCCAGTGCACCAGGCCTGAGCACTTGTCTCATGCATCCAACCTGGGCTGGTGATCTGTTTCACCCTAGATATACATGTTTCGATGCTGTTCTCTTGAAACATCCCACCCCCGGGTTCTCCCATAGAGTCCACAAGTCTGTTCTATACATCTGAGTCTCTTTTTCTTTTTTTGCATATAGGGTTATCGTTACCATCTTTCTAAATTCCATATATATGTGTTAGTATACTGTAATGGTCTTTATCTTTCTGGCTTACTTCGCTCTGTATAATGGGCTCCAGTTTCACCCATCTCATTAGAACTGACGAATCTGCAGCCTACAGAGTTCCTTGGAGCCCTGGGTCCCCATGCGCACAGTATCTCCCCAAGAGAAAGCACATTTCCATTCCCAAGGCTCTATTCTGCCTGGAGAGCTGGACTGGGTCTGGCCCTGTGTAAGCTGGAAGGGTCTTTTAGTGTAAAGCTAGGTGAGAAGCTGGCCTTGGCAGCTGAGTTCATGCTGTCATTTCCCTGAGCCCCAGGCTACTCCTGCTAGTCTCCAGGGAGAATAGAAAACGGAAGGCTGGAGATGGCCTGCGTGCTGCCATAGTTATGCCCATTCTGCTCTCTCTGAGCCCTGCATCTCATCTCTGATGGCCCCATTGTGTCCTTTAACATATCAGAGTCAAATTACCTCTGAATGAGTTCTGAGTGTATGTATGCTTGTGGTTGGGAAGCTATAAAACAAAGGAGTGATGTGATCTGGTTTTGTTGTTGTTCAGTCACTAAGCCGTGTCCGACTCGGCGACCCCAAGGACTGCAGCATGCCAGGTTCCTCTGTCCTTCACCATCTCCTGGACTTTGCTCAAACTCATGTTCATTGAGTCAGTGATACCATCAAACCACCTCGTCTTCTGTTGCCCTCTTTTCTTCTTGCCTTCGATCTTTCTGGCTTTCATGGTATTAAAAAAAACAAAACTCTAGCAGCCATGCAGAAAAGAGATTGTAAAGGAGAACAACAGTGCCCAAAACTGCAATAAGATTTTTTATAAAAACCTAAGTGTTATTCTTCTCCTCCTGCCCCCAATCCCTCCCAGCATCAGGGTCTTTTCCAATGCTGCAATTGATGGGGTCACAAAGAGTCAGACACGACTGAGCGATTGAACTGAACTGAACTGAACTGAACTGAAGTGTTATTCTTAGAGCACTTAGAACAGGTACTGCCACATAACAAGTCCAATGTGCCTGTCTCTTAAAGAGGACAACATTGAAGAAAGAGAATGTCTGTCTTTATGTGGACCTTTGTGACAAGAAAGTGTAAGAGCTCCTTGAAATTTAGAAAAAAGCTTTTTGCAATAGAAGACATCATTATTAATGAGAATGCATTGTCTAGATGCTAGATTCTGGAGTCTTCCACCAGGTATGACCTACATGACCTTGTAGCCTTGGGGGTCAACTGGTTTCTGATTAGCCTATGTGGAGGCCTTCAGAGAGCCCCTATCATATAGTGGGAGCTCAGAAAACAACTGCTCCTTTCTTTTTATCCCACTGCACTCTGAATCTCAGTTTCATAATGGGTCTCCTTGAAGTCCCTTCATAATTGTCAATAACCATGCCACTATTTGCATTTATTCTCCTGACAGAGATTTCCTGGGGACCAAGGAAGCATCACTGCTGCTAATGGCCATGTTCCTTCTTGCTGTGTTCTACCATGGACAGCAGGTAATCTGACGTTTTCCTCTGACTGCCTGTGATTACCTGGCATTTCCTGCTGCCATAAAATTGGCCTGGGGGGCCACCACTCATCTCTGTGGTAAATGACTTTTAGTAGCTTTCAGCAAATAGCGATTCTTCTTTTTCTTCTTATTTTCTTTTGTTTCTTTCCCTTTTTTTCCCCCTCTTGGTGGAGCCATGCATGGCTTGTGGGATCTTAGCTTCCTGACCAGGGTTTGAACCTAGGCCCCGGTAGTTAAAAGCGCTGAGTCCTAACCACTGGATGGCCAGGGAATTCCCAGCAAGTTGTGATTCTTAACAAAGCAATTACTAGTATGGAACACTTAATAAAAAACTAAGATGCAGATGATTTGGAGAGCAATATGGTTTTCATTCCTTTTAGGTGTATCTCTTTCAATGAAACTATTATAAGGAAAAAATAAAAAAAAAAACTTTCAATTTCTGGCTAAGGCCAACTGGGATCTCTCCCAGTTCTGCTGCCTGGATAAAACTATTACTATGGAAGTCGACCTGGTGGGACAGTGGCAAAGATTCTTCCTGTCAGTGTAGAAGACCCAGGTTCGATCCCTGGATCAGGAAGATCCCCTAGGGAAGGAAATGGCAACCCACTCAAGTATTCTTGCCTGGGAGATCCCATGGATAGAGGAGCCTGGCGGGCTATAGTTCATGGGGTCACAAAGGGTCCAACACAACCTAGCAACTAAACAATGGAAGTTGTATAAATAAGGTAAACATTCAGGTTTGGGGATTTTGTGTTTTGGCTTTTTTTTTTTCTATTGGAGTATGGTTGAGTTAAAATGTTATGTTAGTTTCAGATGTACAGCAAAGCGATTCAATTATATATATCTCTCTTCTTTTTCAAAATCTTTTCCCATTTAGGTTATTATACAGTATTGAGTTCAGATAGTAAAGAATCTGCCTGCAACTCAGGAGACACAGGTTCAATCCCTGGGTTGGAAAGACCCTCCGGAGAAGGAAATGGCAACCCACTCCAATATTCTTGCCTGGAGAATCCCATGGAGAGAGCAGTCTGGTGGGCTACAGTCCACAGGATCGCAAAGAATCAGACATGGCTTAGCAACTAACATACACACACAATATGCAAAGAGTATGGAGCAAAGTTCTCTGTACTGTACAATTGTTGTTTGTTTGCTAAGTCACGTCTGACCTTTTTGCACTTCCGTGGACTGTATAGCCCACCAGGCTCCTCTGTCCACAGACTTTTCCAGGTAAGGATACTGGAGTGAGTTGCCATTTCCTTCTTCCTTGTTGGTTACCTATTTTAAATATAGGTATGTGTACATGTCACCTGGGTGGTGCTAGTGGTAAAGAACCCACTTGGCAATGCATGAGACATAAGAGACGTGGGTTCGATTTCTGGGTTAGGAAGATCCCCTGGAGGAAGGTATGGCAACCGACTCCAGTATTCTTGCCTGGAGAATCCCATGGACAAAGGAGCCTGGAAAACTACAGTCCATAGGGTCACACAGAGTAGGATATGACTGAAACAACTTAGCATGCACGCACACAGGTACATGTCTATTCCAAACTCCCAGTCGGGCTTGAGGACCATCCTAACCAAGGTTCCAATCCCACCCTGCCTCCAAGAAGTTTGTGGCCTTCTCCCTGACTCTCTGCTTCCTCTTCTTTACAATAAGATAGTAATTCCTGACTAGGGCTGTTTTGAAGAATCATTTGAGATGATTGTATGTAGCATTTTGAGTGCTGCCTTTCAGAGATAGAGGAGGCACTTCATCATTGATTTGTCCTGAGTAGATAAAGTGCCTAGAGTATTGATGCCACTTCCCCGTCTGCCAGGATCTGGGGCGGGCACCGTGGATAGCCTCGTACAAAACCCCGTCCCTAGCCCCAAGGCTTCCTGTCTCCTGGAGGAGAGTGGACCCTAAATAATGCAATGTGGGATGTGCTATGAGTGAACCAGCCTTGTCCAAGGACCGCAAGAGTCAGAGAAGCAAGAAATTATTCTGCATGGAGCATCATACCAGACCTCATCCAAGAGATGTCACCTGTTCTCCACAGCCGGTAGGATTTCTCCATGCGGACACAGAGCATGAATGCAGCAGCACTCATCACTTTCTGCAGAGCCAGGCACTGTCTGCTTCACTGCTGTGCTCTGGATCCCAGCCTGTCTGTCTGTGCGTGTACTTCAAAAAAAAAGTAACCAGGAAAGGATAAAAAACAAGACTATCAGCCAGAGTAGAAATAGAAACATACCACTGAGAAATCACCATGGAGACAGGGAGGTAACGAATCCTGAGAAACCAGGGATGAAACAGCCCAAAACCCCAGGAAGCTAGAGATACATACATAAAGTTATTTGTAATAAAGCGGGATGGTAACATGTTGTTTAGTCATGAAGTCATGTCTGACTCTTTTGTGACCCTGTGGGCTATAGCCCACCAGGCTTCTCTGTCCATGGATTTCCCGGGCAAGAAAACTGGAGTAGTAGGTTGCCAGGGGATCTTCCCAACCCAGCAATCGATATTGCGTCCCCTGCTTGGCAGGTGTATTCTTCACCACTGAACCACCTGGGAAGCCGATGGTAAAATGTACTCAGGGGGACAAAATAAATAAAACTAAACTTGGCAATCAAAGAAAAGGAGGCAAGAGTTAGCATGTATTGGCCTCCTACTATGTGCCTGGCACTTCTTTGTATTATCGAATAATCTCAACAACCTGAATGGTCGTTATTATGGATCCTGTTTTACAGATGAAGGAAATCAGGCTACTGAGCTAGAAAGTGAGAAAAGTATAATTCAACCCCAGATCTGTCTCCAGAGCCCACCTTTCCACTTTCTCAATCGGGGGAAAAACAAAAGGCACTGTCTGTGCATCTTCACGACACCAAGGGCATTCAATCCTGCAATATGACCTCACCTTGCCCTTCAGTTTCAGCTGAAACACTAAGCCGAAGGTCAAAGTCTGGCCATTGGCAGAATCCCCCTACTTAGGTCTTTCCGGTTTTCTGTGAGAGCTGGGATCGTGTCCTCCACATCCTGATGGCTTCTAGTCACAGGGGAGAAATTCTTCATCTGACATGCAAATGACAAGTCATTTGAGGGCTGTGAAGACAGAAACAGACAAGGCAATCCTATAGAAAAGTGTTGTATTCTCCATCACACGGTTTTAAACTGACAAGTGAGAAGTTCTCAGAGAATTCTCTTATGCTAAGAGAGCGTAAGTTCAGAATGGGGAGGGGGTCCTCATTCTAGAATAGGAAGGCTGTTTCTACCTTCCCTGTCACCTTAAGGAATTACTCTGTGCCTGTTAGTGCCTCTGCAAAGCCCTTCTGAAATTCTGATTCAGTTTATTCTATTCTCCATTTGTCCTGCAAAAGCAGATACCCTCATCTCATGAAGAATATGAATAAAGAGCAAGTGAGTGAATGGTGAGGGCCTGAGTACTTAAGTGATATCTGATTATTTTCTTTTTTATTTTTAACCTTCAAAAGGTTTTTTAAGAGATTTTTTTAATGTGGATCATTTTTAAAGACTTTATTGAATTTGCTACAATATTGTTTCTGTTTCACGCTTTGGTTTTTTTGACTGCAAGTCATGTGGGATGTTAGTTCCCCGACCAGGGATTAAACCTGCCCCCCTTGCATTGGAAAGCAGTCTTAACCAGCGGACCGCCAGGGAAGTCCCTCAGAAGGTTTTAAAATGACAGAACTACATCCCATAACTGTAGCAGTTACAGATGTAACCTTTGGAGTGGGGTAGATACCATTCAAATCCCGACTCTGCCACTCAGTAGATATGTGACCTTCAGTCATTTATCTAACTTTCTGTGTCTTTGTTTTCTCACCTATAAAGTGGGTACGATAGTAACAGTTTTTGTAGGTTTTTTTTGTAGCATCATATGAGAATATAATTATAATTCACTTCTCCCAGTGATTTGCGCTTGGAGTAAGTGCTCAAACATCGTGAGCTATTAATATTTTACTTTGGAAGCAAGAGTCTGAGACAAACGGAGAAAGTGTTATCATCCGTCTGGTCCCAAGGCAGCAGCAGAGACTCAAGTCACTTGAGGTCACAAAGTCAAGGAGAACCAGACAGAAACAGGGATGCAAATGCTCCATCCAGCTTTTCGGTCCATGCCCTCTCCACCACGTGGTGCTGCCTATCTGTTAGAGGGTACCTTTCTGCAGAACTGCATCACCTCGAGCATCATTTCATGACGCCCATCAGAGTCCTGTTCATCCGGATCAAGTCCGTCCACTTCTGAGTCTGCTACCTGCTCCCACTGTGTTCCCTGGTGACTCAGAGGCCCTCTATTTTTACTAAAGCCTGAATAATCCCCACTGATGCCTGTACACAGCAGCAGCCCAGTGGGAGCAAGTGTAATTGTACATCTCCAGAGTGACGGAGGCGGTTATGCAACCGAATAATTGGGAACTCTCATTCTGCACATATGTGAAAGCGATACGCCAAACACTTCCTCCTCCTCCGAGGCAGGTGAACTTCACGAACATTGGACAGAAGAGAGCAGGCAGCCAGGTGCCTCCCACCTCGTGCCTGATTCATTGCAGCCCTGAGGTTTGGGCTTGGCCTCAGCTCTCCTTTCAGAGCAGAGGACGTCACACCTGTGCACAGAGATAGAGATTAATGAGGTGAGGTCTCTAGTTGCTTACTTCCGGGTCTGATAAAGATAGGCACTGGGATTGTGCAGCTTAGAAAGACCCAAGCCTTGGGACCAAATTATTAAATTTGCATCCCAGCAAGGCTCCTGGAAGAATAGGTGACCTTGAGATGTTCAGCCTCTCAGACCTGACATTTCTTTACCTGCAAAAGGAAAAGTCTAATAGTTATCTATCAGGAGTTGGGGAACAGCTGAATGAAGTCACGTTCATAGAGTGCAGGGGTTAAGAATCGCAGCTTGGAGTTCAAATGCCCTGAGTTCAAAGCCCAGACGCTGTTTGTGAAACCTTGGGCACCTGACTTCACCTTCCTGCGCCTCTGTTTCCTCAGCTATCAAACGGGCATAAAAAAGTACCTGCTTTGTTGAGCCATAGTGTGATTAAAAGACTTTCAGTATGTTTGAAATGCTAAGTACAGTGCCCAGTTCAAGACAAGGACTCAGTCTGTGTTAATTATCATTCTGTGTTAACAGCCTGGCACAAAACATATAAACAATGTTTATTAGTTCTTTTGGTGCTCTTTTCTTTTTTCTTTTATAAACTCATAAATTTATTTCTCCCAGTAGAGGATAGGAAGTCCAAGACCAAGGTGCTGGCAGATTCAGTGTCTGGTGAGGAGGACCCACATCCTGGTTCATAGGCATCTTCTCACTACATCTTCACATGGCAGAAGGCACAGGGACATCCCTGGGATCTCTTTTATAGACATTAATCCCATTCATGAGGGTTCCAACCTCATGGCCTAAACACCTCCCAAAGGTCCCACCTCCTAAGACCATCACTTTGAGGGTTAAGATTTCAAAATATGAATTTTGAGGGCACACAAACCCTTGGTACTGTTTTCATATAGCCAGTCCCTAAGTGGTTTGGGAAGGGAAATCAGAATACAAAAAGTTGAAAAGGGTTATTCATTTGCTTTATCTTGCAACTCAGATACAATGCAAGTGAAAGTATCAGTCGCTCAGTCATGTCCGACTCTTTGTGACCCCGTGGACTGTGGCCCACCAGACTCCTCTGTCAGTGGAATTCTTCAGGCAAGAATACTGGAGTGGGTAGCCACTCCCTTCTCCAGGGAATCTTCCCAGCCCAGAGACGGAACCCAGGTCTCCCACATCACAGGCAGATTCCTCACTCTCTTAGCCACCAAGGAAACCCCTCAGATACAATCAGTTCAGTTCAGTTGCTGTCATGTCCAACTCTTTGCAACCCCATGGACTGCAGCACACCAGGCTTCCCTGTCCATCACCAACCCCCAGAGCTTGCTCAGACTCATGTCTATTGAGTCGGTGATACCATCCAGCCATCTTGCCCTCTGTCGTCCCCTTCTCCTTCTGCCTTCAATCTTTCCCAGCATCAGGGTCTTTTCTGATGAGTCAGTTCTTTGCCTCAGGTGGCCAAAGTATTGGAGCTTCAGCTTCAGCATCAGTCCTTCTAATGTATATTCAGGACTGATTTCCTTTAGTACTTGGCTGGTTTGATCTCCTTGCAGTCCAAGGGACTGTCAAGAGTCTTTTCCAAACCACAATAATATAACAATAATACCACAGACACCACCACCTACCAGGTGATTGTTGTAAACACTTTGAATATTCTTGTTGAGCTCTTTTTAGCCTTAGAATATTTCTCTCCACGAATGTGCCTTCAACTTATTATTTTAAAAGACATTTGGAATAATTATTCTCTGTGTGCTTATACCTGTAGGTTTGCTTCTTTGTTTGAGCTTTTAAAAATTCCATCTGGTTTCATAATTAAGTAAAATATTTCCATGATTCAAAAGTCAGGTTTATAAAACAAGATATAATTTTTAAAGTTTAAATGTATCCCTTTTCCTTCACCCCACCTTTCTCATCTCATTGTAATTATTTTTTACATTTTTGTACTTTAATTTTTAATAAATATATATATATATGTGGAGAGAGATATATATAGATATCCCCTTTCCTTAGATCAATAATAGCAAACTGTGCGTATATTTCTCCACCTTAGATACCAACCCATCAAAGTACATATAGAGAAATATTCTTCATTTCTTTTTATAGCCGTATATAAGTTTATTCAACCAGCAAAATGAGCACTTGGATTGTTTCCAGCTTTTGCTATTAGAAATTCTGCTGAAAGAATAACCTTGCACCTCTGCCTTTTCATACTTTTGCCATTCACTGAGACTTGCACATAAGACAAAGAACTAGCTGAATTTTTTTAAGCCCTTGAATTCAGGGCATCTAACCATGTGTTTAACGGTGCAACATATTATTCATTTCAACAGTTAAAGACTTTGAAATAATGACATTACCAAAAGCTCTCATAAATATGGTTTGTGAGATTTTTTAGAAAGGAAACTGCCCACTTTCCAATGAAAAGAAATGCTAAGATGAGAGAAGTTGGGGAAGGGTGGATACATGTATATGTATGGTGGAGTCCCTTTGCTGTCCACCTGAAATATCAATACAAAAGATAAAGTTTTTAAGAAAGAGTAACAATTTTTAAAAATTAAAAAACAAACAGGATTTTAGGAGAAGAGGGAACTGCTCCTGCTGCTGCTGCTGAGTCGCTTCAGTTGTGTCCGACTCTGCGTGACCCCACAAATGGGAGCCCACCAGGCTCCCCCATCCTTGGGATTCTCCAGGCAAGAACACTAGAGTGGGCTGCCATTTCCTTCTCCAGTGCATGAAAGTAAAAAGTGAAAGTGAAGTTGCTCAGTCGTGTCCGACTCTTAGCAACCCCATGGAGAAGGCTCCAGTACTCTTGCTTGGAAATCCCATGGACGAAGAGGGAACTAATAGGTATTAAATACCTACTGTGAGTCATATGTTCTCCCTACAACTTCCTAAATAATTCCTGACCCAGGGATTGAACCCACGTCTCCTGCACTGCAGGTGGATTCTTTACCACTGAGCCACTGGGAAGTCCTTGTTGTATAGATTAAAGGCATTAATATATGTGTATTATTAGAACAGTTCCTGGCACCATCTGATCAGCACAGCCTACGTGTTAGCTGCTTTTACTACTGTAATTTGTCGAATCAAGACATATTAATGGAACACCAACCCCGTGCCAGGAAGGTTTTTATATGGCAAGGATGTGATTTGAATTGGGGGGAGAACCCTGACCTCACAGCACCTGCAGTGCACAGTGGAGGAAAGAAACAACGACAAAATCCCAGGTGCCGCAGTGCTCGGAACAGGAGGCACGCGGCCCCGTAAAAGCTACTCATCTTCCGGTCTCCTGGTGTCAGGCAAAGGCCTCCCGAAATGTTCGGCTTGGGTTCTGTCTCATGTCCAGAGGGCTCCGGAGAAACCCTGTCCACCTCCCACGGACGTGTGTCTGAGCCCCTTCCTCCCCTTCTGTCCCCTGAATTGCAGCTGGAGTACACGGCCCGCCTGGACTTCCTGTGGCGAGTGCAGGCCAAAGAGGAGATCAACGAGATGAAGGAGCTGAGAGAGCACAATGAGAACATGCTGCGGAACATCCTGCCCAGCCACGTGGCCCGCCACTTCCTGGAGAAGGACCGGGACAACGAGGTGAGCCCAGGCTCGTCCGCCCCAAGGCCGGGCGGCCGCGGGAGGGCTGCGGTAGGACACCCTGATCCCAGGCGCGCAGAGGGCCCCACTGTCCTCACCTGAGCATGGAGGCCAGGCCCACTCCCCAGCACTCTGAAACACACATGTGGCCTCCCCAGTTTCTGGTATCTCATCTGTAAGATGCATGTAATAAGGTCACTAGTGCAAGACTGAGTTGGAATTTTAAAGTTTTACATAGATGTGTGTGTGTGTGTGTGTGTGTGTGTGTGTGTGTGTGTGTACATATATATAATTCCAACACTTTGGAGTTGTGTAACCAACAGGACTGAAAGTAGAGTCACAAAGAAATAGCTCTGCACATTCATATTCATAGCAACATTATTTATAATACCAGAATGTTGGGATCATCCAAGACTCCATCAAAAGATAAATGGATAAGGGAAACGGGGTCTATATGTACAGTGGAATGTTGTGTCTGTACCTACAGTGGAATGTTGTGTCTATACATGCAGTGGAATGTTGTTCAGTCTTTGGAAGGAAGTAAATTCTGATACATGCTACAACATGGATGAAGCCTGAAGACACTACAGAAAGTGAAGTAAGCCTTAGCCTTTGACCACAAAAGGGCAGCTTTGTCTAAGAAAAGCAAACTAAACCTTCCTGGTATCTGAGTCACAACAAACAGTCAAAAAATATTTCTCAGGCACAGACTGTGCAATAAACATCTAAAAGGCCCTGGGACGCTTCTGGGGGATTAACTAGAGAAGGGCTTGCCATCGTGTAGCTTATATTCAAATGGGGGCAGAGAGATAACAGCCCAGTACAAAAGTGCACTGTGAGGGCACTGCTCTGATGGGTGAACAAAGATTACCTGCTAGTAGCAGCTGGCATGGACAGGTGTGATCAGGGGAGATGCCCACCCCTGACCTGCGACTGAGTGATAGGAAGGACCTAGTCATCCTAGGAGAGTGGGGAAGAGGCAGGACGATCCAGGAAAGAGAGAACAGCACAAGCAGAGACACGGGGTGAGGATGAGCTTGGGGTGCCCACAGAACAGGAAGGCCAGGCTAGGGGATTGTCTCGGTTCCCCAAGGCTGTTATAATAAATACTGCATGACTTAAAGCAACAGAAACGTGTTGTCTCACAGTTCTGGCAGCCAGAATCTGAAATCAATGCAGTAACATGACCATGCTCCCTCTGAAGTCTCTAGGAAGAATTCTTCCTCCTCTTCCAGCTTCTGGTGGCCTCAAGCACCCCTTGGCTTGTGGCCACATCAGTCTAATCTCTGCCTTAGTCACATGGCCTTCCCCCTGCTTATAAGGGCATGTGTCCTCTTTTCATATGAGGACACCAGTTGTTAGATTTAGGACTCTTTCTTTCCAATATGACCTCATCTTAGCTTAATCATGTTTGCAAAGACCCCGTTTCCAAATAAGGGCGCATTGTGAGGTTGTGGAAAGAAAGAAAGGGAAAGGGAAAGTTGCTCAGTCATGTCTGACTCTTTGCAACCCCATGGACTATACAGTCCATGGAATTCTCCAGGCCAGAATACTGGAGTGGGTAGCCTTTCCCTTCTCCAGATCTTCCCAACCCAGGGATCGAACCCAGATCTCCCACACTGCAGGCAGATTCTTTAGGAGTTGAACCACATGGGAAGCCCAGGTTGTGCGGGGGACGTGAATTTGGAACACTTCCCATTCCAAGGATGAAGAGTGATGAGTGATGCGAGAAGAACCGGGGCCAGGGCCTGGCAGCTGGGTCTTAAGGAGTATGGTAGGGTTTGGGCACCCTTTTAAGTGCTGTGTGACCCTTTGGAAAGTGTGTTGCCTAATCTGACCGAATGCTAATAGAGTGTGGAGAAGAGAGTCACAAAACCAGAAACTAGTTAGGAGAGTCTAAAATAGCCCAGGAAAGAGTCTGATGGGGAGGCCTAAGATGTAGCAGTGAGATAGAAATGGATGAATCCTAGGTACCTTTACAGGTTGGAATCAACAGGACTCAATAATGGAGTAGATGTGAAAGATGAGAAATGAAAAAAAAAAAAAAAAAACACAAAATCAAGCCATTTGGTTGAAAAAAGTAACTCAAGAGGGAAATAAAAGATGCCCTTAAAGACCTGAAGGGTTATCGCATGAGAGGGACTGACCTTGCTCTGTGAGACTCCAGAGGGCAGACCCAGGGCTGTGGATGGCCTTCGGGGGATATTTCTGTGTTCAGCACTTATGTAGAACCCTATGGTGACGGAGCCATCAGGCTGTGAGACCCACAAGAGAAGGGACAACATCAGCCTTGGTCACCACTGATCCTTGGGCCCTGGTGCAGGACCCCGTGGTCCTGCTTATTAAAGGTTTGTGGATGAACTAGAATGGTGAGCTCCTTTGCCGAAACTTTTTAAGTGGTGAGAAGAAAGTCCTTGCCAAGTACACAACAAAGGCAAGGTCTGTTGTCTGGGAGACCGGACCAAGACAACCCTTCCAATAGAGAGTTTCAAACTGAGTCAAACAGGGGATGGAAAACTCACAGAACAAAGCTCACAGACTGGCTGATTCTGAGACAAATCTGACCAGCAAGCCAGTGGGCTGGGACAGTGGTCAGTTGGTTGTTTTGCTTTTTTGTTTTAATTGGTAGATTCGATGCCTTTAGACATTGGAATGGACTCTCCAATTTATCCATCTCTACCTTGACACATATGTTACCTGCTGGACCTCTGAAAACACTTGGGGTTGTGACCCCTGCCTCAGGGTAGAATTAAGAGAGACCTGCAGGTCCATTTCCCATCGGAGCCTCTGTAAAAGGCCAGTGGGAGAGAAGCCAAGAGCATGAGTCATCTGCTGCTTGAATAATCAGCTCTTGATGAACTCACGCCCTTGAAAGTCTGTTGGATGCAGATTAAGGCACCAAACACCCTCAACAGATGGAGTTCTCTGGAATTGGGTTCAAGCCTGATTTCCTCAGAGCTCGCTAAGGTCAGGGACTTTGTTGCAAGAGCTTCTTGAGGAAGCCAAGAAAGCGAAATGTCGCTGAGCATCAACCGCGACCACCAGAAGGAGCAGATGGAACACTGGAGCCCTCGGAGGGAAGACCCACAAAGAAATGAAAGGAAAGCCACCTGTCAATCAAGACACCAAAACAAGGAGGTATTTGGAACCAGTGGGGAAGAACAAGAATGCACTGGCTGACTTCATCCTGAAATGAAGGAAACCAACCAGAGATGCCCAGACCCCAGGTCATCAGCGATTATTCGAGCCAAACCCCCACTGAGCAAAATAAAGGTCAGGCTCAGCCTTCATCACATGGATAAGGCATTCTCAGTAGAAAGTCTTGTCAAGTTCATTTGTGGTTTTATAAATATTTAAACAGTTTGCACTTGGCTAGGCTTAAATAGAGGAAGTTTTCACATTGCCTGGAGGACTTCACGTTATGATGCCATATCATTTACTGAACACCTACTGTGTGCCAAGTACTGAGACAGGCAATTGATGAAAATGACCTTTCATTCTATTCACAACCTGAAGAGGAGAGCTCTGTGACCCCCACAGTAGTGATGAACAAACTGGGGCTCAGGGAGGTCCATGGTGTGCCTCTGTTTATTTCAGCAAAGCCACAACTCTGATCCAGTCCCTCAAATTTCTTCCATCTGTGCCACGTCACTCCTTACTGTGCTGCTACCCATGGTGCCCCAGGAGTTTGTGAAGATGAGGGAGTGTGTACGTGTGTATGTGATGGTTATAGAAGATGTCTATGTGGCATGATTTACATTGTCTAGGTATCTGGAAAGATTGGGTTGTGTGTATGGAAATATGAACATATGTGTGGAAGAACTTGGTATTTGTGTGTGTCTACATGTGCCTGTGCATGTGTGTGTGCAGGAGACACAGGCAGAGTGGTGTAACATGTGAAGGGGTGACAGACAGAGACAGGACAGCTGTAGCCTGCAAGAATTCCCGATTTCATGCTCTGTTTCCATAAGAGGCATTTTTAGCTTCTTGCTACAAATCTGACTGTGATACAAACCTGTGAATATCTGCCTGGGGACATTCGTGACTTTGGGTCCCAGCTTTCAGAGGCGAGGGCAGTGCTCACAGATGGTATTACAACAAGGCAGTAAGAATGATTATCCCCATTTCATCGATGGAGAAACTGAGGCTCAGAGAAGTAAAGGACTTTGCCCAAGGTCACAAAGCTAGTGTGCAGTGAGCTGGAATTCAAGCCCAGATGTGCACAACCTCCAAGCCAAACACTGTGCTTCTTCTCCTGCACTTTGCTGCCAGGGTGTGAGTGGCAGAGACAGGGGAGCAATGACAAGGAATGATGCAAGCCACCCAAACCTAGGGCGGTTGACAGAGCCGCACTCTCTGGAACATCCTGTCCGAGTCTGTTCCGGCTGAGTCATCCGCGCAGAGGTCCTGGCATTCCTGCTGTTCTGCTCGACTTCGGCCTCGAAGAGCACTCAGCACGCCGGGTGGGGACTCTTGCGGATCAGGCCAGCGGGGCTGGGTCAGCAGTGTCAGGCAGGCGCTCGCTGAGTCCCAGGAAACTGCCCGCTCATCCCGGCTCTGTTAGAACTTCCGGAAGGACAGTGCCCGGGGCAGCTGTCTCAGGTGCTGGGCAGTCTGTGCCGCACAAGTGCCACCTCTGCCCCGAACTAGCGGTGTGACCCAGGGCAGCTTACGCAACCTCTCTGAATCCATTCTGTCAGCCTACTGAGGAGGAAATAATGCCAACTTTGCTGAACTGGTGTGAGAATTAAATTGGGTAAGAAGAACACATGAAGTGCCCAGTGTGGCCGGCTGTAAGTAGGGCTCAGGAGAGCAGAGCCATTTGGTATATTTGAAAATCTGATGCCTGAACTTCAGTCCCGGCTCTTCCTCTCACGACTCTGTGACCATGAACAAGAGGCGAACCTCTCTAGAGCTCATTTTCCTCATCTCCACAGGAACAGGATCCCCCAACTTTACGTTACAACATTTACATGAGTTATTACGCATAAAGGGCTTAA